TCAAAACTGAATTAATAAGTTTTGCCAACTTATTTCCAAGTCTTACAGTATGTCTTTCTGAAGATGAGACACAGAAAGTGGAAATAATTCTTGATGAGGAGGAGATTAATGACTGGATTCCACCTATTGACAAGCTAGTTGAGGTACAAAAGGAATCAAAGTGTGGTTCTTGCAAGCAATGCTTTCTTTGCTGTCACAGGTTGTTGTTAAAATACAACCTTTATTCTGCAGCTTATGAAAATCTTTCGATCACCTATGAGTACCTGTTGACCCTTTCTTTTACACAAGTCTCATGTGAGAGAGCATTCAGCAAGCTAAAACTCATCAAGACCCGACTGCGAGCCACAATGGGACAAGAACTGCTTGATGCTCTAATGCTCATGTCAGTGGAGAGAGATCTTCTGGAACAGGTCCAGTTTCCAGATGTATTGGAAATTATTCGTCAAAGTTTTTCCTTGATGAGGTTTTTACTAACCGTTTGATCAAATATTTTTAGTTTAAAAGTTTCATACAGATATTTATTTCTCTGGCTTCTGTATTTTTTTTTTTTATTGTATCCATACATTGTTCATTTGTTAAAACTGTAGATTTTTATTTTTGTTAAACGACATTTTTTGCTATTACAATTAAATTATGTTAAACCACATTGTATCATATTTGTCTTACATCTTAACATCAATCCATTATAAAACAAGGAAAAGGTGGGCGTGGATGGGATGCTGATACGGTGGTGCAATGGGCCACTTAACTGGATTTGCCCCCCAGGACTAAGGCTGCCAGCCCTCCCCTGTTAACCTCTACCACTTCGGCTGGAAGGCTATTCCATGCGTCCACTACCCTCTATTTTTAAACCTTTGCCCCTCTAATTTAAGACTGTCATCTTGATGTGGTAGTTTTTCTTCTTTTAAATATAGTCTCCTCCTTTACTGTGTTGATTCCCTTTAACAAAGGTAGGAACAGGCTTGTGACCTTTTGGAAGTCCACAAAACAACTGAGCACAGAGCCCAGGGTGGTCTGTCCTCAAGTATGGGGGAAAAAGGGAGTATGGATCCTCTAGTGCAGGTAGGCGTCCACACCCCCTATGTGGGCAGGACACTATGTATGTTTATACACCGGGCTGGCTATTTCCCCACACTGCACATGAGCATGATACCAAAGATCCCACAGGGTTCTGACACCCTTGGTGAACCTTGGGGCTGCACAGGGGAAACAATCGCAATAAAACAAAGGAATCCCAGAGGGAAGGCGGGCTGGAGGGTAGAGGTGTGTTGACTAAATCAATTGCTGGGCCGATTTCCTTTGGTGATAATCAGAGGTGGAATGGTGTTATTCTGCACAGGGCTAAGGGTGATGGGAGTTTGCACCCAGACTACTTCAATGAGCTGCAGTGGCCTGGGTGCCTACAGTGTCCCTATGTATTAATATGTCTGTGGGGAACTAGTACTAACTAATAGTGATGTCCCGAATAGTTCTTGGGCTTGTTGTCACCTTTTGGGGACCCTTGGTGTTGTACGTGGCTGGGTGGAGGAAGAGACCTTCAATGACATCAGTGAGGACAAGGAACGGGACATGGCTAGCTTAGTATCCAACCTTGTGCAAATGGACTGTTTGCGGTTGTTTGCAGTGCGTTAAACGGGGAGTTTGGTCTGTCACTGTGAAGCGGGCGTAACCCTTACACTACCTGATCGATACAACATCATACCTGATGTTTTAAAGCAGGGGTTCTCAACCCAGCCCTCAAGGACCCCCTATCAGTCCAGGATTTATGGATTACCTGGGTGTGTCTAAAGTGTTTAAGGTGGGTTTTTTTTTCTAAACACCTTAGACACACCCAGGTAATCCCTGAATCCTGGACTTGTAGGGGGTCCTTGAGGACTGGGTTGAGAACCCCTGTTTTAAAGCATGTTATTCCAAACAATTTATGAATGTTAGGTGATTTATGCCCTTTATGGATTAAAACCAGACTCTGCATCAACTATGTAATTTTCCATGGGAGTTTCCATCACTATTGTGGCCAGAAAGAGTCCCTGTGGGTTTTGAAATCCGCCTGCCTATTGAAGTCTATGGCGGTTCACCCGGTTCGCGAACATTTGCGGAAGTTCTCGCTTGCGAACCGAAAATTTTACGTTCGCGACATCACTACTAACTAATGCAATGATATTGTGTAAGACTACCACTGTAGTGATCATGGTGTCCGTAGAAAAAAATAATTTAACTCAAACCAAAACATTGCAAAATCATAAAATGAATAAAATTTATTGTACAGCAGCTGGGCATTTTGTTTTAATCTTCTTCCCATGATTCTGGTTGTAGTCCTCTTCCATCTGCAATTCATCATTCTTCTTTTATTCCAGGAGTTCCCAACCTGTGGTATGCGTAACCCCAGAGGTACAAACCAGTGCCGCTGGGTGTACGTGAAAAATAATTGGTCATGGCGGCGGTGCAGCAGGCTGGCAACTGCATGGTGAAGGTCCATCGGGTGGCTCATGCAGTTAGGGTCACCCAATGGACTTGTGCCATGACAGTTGTGTGGTGCAGTGTTTTTATTTTTTTTAAATTCTTTATTTTTTCATCTTGACAGAGTCAGCGAACATAACAGTAGCCACTTGACTTGTGCAAATTTCAGTTATAGTGCAATACAATATCCCATGTTAGTGAAAAAGGGAAAGGCAACATGCCTTTGAACAATACATATTCTACACAAGTAATTACAATTTGGCTGGTCGTCAAGGAGTTTTGGAGTAAGAATGACATTGCCAGTATACCAGACATGCGTTTATGTATGCAGTGATAACGTCACATAACCATGAGCTTTCCATAGCGTAAGGGTGGGGCATCCGCCGCTACTCGAGGGTATCAGCAGAAGCCTCCTGTATTGTATACCAGCTATTTTCTATGTCAGATACTCTAACAGTACCAGTCCTGCCTCCTGGACTGGGGTGCAGTGTTTTAACTGCACGACTGGGTCCCTGCTAATCGGCCCAGAGTGCGGGGAGGAAGTGGCAGCTGGTCACTTCCTCCCAACTCAAACAGACTCTTCCGCATGTGAGTGGCAGGCCGAGAGCCGTGAGGGGGAGCAGACCTGAACAGGAGCAAAGCACAGCCAGCAGAAGCTACCATCCTGCAACTAGAGGGTGGCTAACATTTTGACCTGCATGTATGTTTTGGTTGTCTGTATGTATGTCAGTCTGTGTATCTGTAATAAACGAAAAAAAAGGTGGGAGAATGAAATATAGGTTCAGTAGGGCTGGAAGAGCAGGGCATGAACCCAAATGATGAAGAAAAAAAACTAGCTCTTGACCCAAAAGTATGGTAAAAGAATGATATAAAACTTAATTTTTAATATAGAGTGTATACAAAAAAAAAGGGGGGATATAAGTGGATACAATCTAAGGTATTGCCACTAGATGGAGACAAAACCAAACTATGCTAAATAGATAGCATCAAAGAAAAAGACACTTAGTAATCTATTTGCGATATATAGATATATATACATACAGTGTGGAAAGAGAAGGGGGGGGGAGTGAAAAACAAAACGATAAAACATTTTATATATATATATATATATATATATATATATATATATATATATATATATTTACAGATTTACAGATAAAGGTTTACTCTGGGATGTGTATATAAAAAGAGAGCAACAAGCTGTATCCACTTCAGTGTTCTGTAGGAAATTGAATAAACAATGTTAGTTTATCACTAGAATGCAGCATGGTACAGTAACATCATGTTTGTAATGTAATGCCAGGGGGAACCCTCGACAATATAGAAATGCAGGCAGAGTACAGCGGCTACTGAAACAATGAGGGGTGAAGTCTTAGTAAGGACTGTTAGCACAGAGTAAACAATGTTGGTAATCGAAATGGTGGAATTATCGGAATGCTAGTTGATATATATACTAAATCTATGCCTTCAAGGGCACCTATGCTAGATTGTAAGGACTAGATCTATCACTGGATGGCACTACCGATAATGTTCACCATTTAAAAGTACGGTATAACATCAAAATGGTGGGGAAATAATTCTGCTTCAAATATGTGTCAATTAGTGCCTTAAGAGGTACCTGTACTGTGAGGAGAATAAATAGGTTTACACTTAGAAAAACAAGAAAGAACTGGGGTAGAGCCTGTTCTAGGTACACTAAGGGACAGGGGGTACCCCAAATAGAAACTGAAAAACAAGGAAGGAGTACCAGAAAGGGGACTGGGGTAGGATAGGATACCAGAAGTCGGTGCCAGATATCCACAAGGTATTACCAGACTAGGAGCTAAATATTTAAGTAAAAAAATAATAAATATTTTATTAATATTTAAAAACAATAATACAAAAGTGTGTGCTAATGTACTAAAGGTGAACCAAAAGATAAGTGTAAACCAGTGCAACTAGTTGAAAATATACCAATAAATACTAAGAGTGCTGAGAATATATATCATAGGTCAAAGAAGCTCTAATAGGCTGACTCTAGTGGTATACATAGAGATGGTATCATAAGGAGTAATACTAGTGGACTGGTAGATATAGCTATATATCAGGGTTTAGCTGTAAAGCAAGCTAGGCATTAGACTTGGGACAAAATAATCAATGTCCCTATAGATCCCAAAGTAGATCTGAGTATAACTAATATAAGTAAATTAGAGCAGCGATGGATAGTTTCTCAGTTAGGAACTGTGCTGATGGCTTGATAGTCAGAAATAAAGATCGCACTATACTCCTAAAATGTGGTAAAATAATAGATCTAAAGTGTGGTAAAATAATAGATCTATCGTGGTAAAATAATAGATCTGTGTTGCAATGTCAGAAAGCTAAGTACACTCGATGTCAGGTGAACAGAATATTACTGGGGGGCGAGCTTAGCCACGGAACGGAGTGGTCGCATGTTCAATGAGCTCCAGCAACATCGAGACTAAATTAACATCAAAAACTATTACAGCCCTCACGGACCTAACAATTGACGGCCAAGGCAGGGGGGCAAAGCTCTCAACTGACCGATGCCCTTCGTATACCGCCAGACGGGACGGAAAACACGCTGCACAACTGAGGCCTACTCAGACTACAGGGCCCTCGAAACGGCGCTCCACAACGCGGTCTTCTCTACTGCCTTACCGCCCACGGAGCACACAGCCACAAACCCGGCAAATATGGGACGAAAATCCCAGCGGATAGCAACAGGTGCGTGCAAAGATACACAGGACATTAGCACTATGCTCCAGTGCACCGCGGTCCCGAAAATGGCGGCCACAACCGACTTAGACACAAGCTCCACGTGCTCGGAGCTCGTCATGGGGGACACACTAGACCACCTGCCATCTCAAGGTGCACAAGCTGACTGATGCACTGACACCAGCCACAAAATTAGACATTAAAAACCTCCTAAAGGAGCTAAAACAAATGTCCGCGGCAGACATGGCTTTAATGAAAACGGAGGTCCAAGCGGTCACAGACCGAGTGAAGACCACAGAAGAGAACATCATAGAGGTCCAAAATGAAGTGAGGAGTCTAAAAGAAACAGTGTGGTTGATCAGGTTTGTTGATCAGGTTTGCTTGTGAGGCTTTTAAATAGGCTCACAAGCAAACCTGATCAACAAGCTGGATGCAGTAGAAGAGAGAAGCCGCAAAAGCAATGTGAAAACTATGGGTATCCCCGAAGAAATGTCAGGCAGAGCTGCCACACTACATCAGACTCCTAGTCGCCACCATATTTCCACATGCACAGGCCAAAATAATTATTATTGAAGGGCTATTCCGCATCTGTAAATCGCCACAGGCACCCCCCCCCCCACGCAACCAAGGATGTAATCGTCTGGTGCCATACCCAAACAGACAGAAATGCCATCTTCGCTGCCTTAAAAGGCAAAACGCCACTGGACTTTGAATCCGCAAGTCTTACCTTTTATCAGGACCTGACAAGATCCACACTCCAATAGAGAAGAACCCTGCGCCCTATGACCCGTCGCCTCCAAGACGCCAAAGTGACGTACCGCTGGACAGCACCCAAAACACTCTCGGTGGACCACAACGGCACCACTCTACAACTCAATTCCACTCAGGAGGTGGACTCTTTCCTCAGGGCACTGGGGCTCCCACTAGGACCTGACCACACAGAAGAGCCAGCCAGCTCCCATACATGGGACCCCACCAGGACTGTCCCTTTTGTACCAAGGGGGAGAGGAGCCTCTGAGGCAGCCACCTGACACCAATGACTGCCTTCCAGCCCACATTACTGTTCTAATTTGTTTTAATTTGGTTTTAAACAATTTTTAACGTTGTTCTGCTTTTCGATTAGGCACCACTGTAAGGCACACATCCTACCCCTGAGTTAAAGGGCCACCGTAATGGCAAAAACCCTCACACTGATACAGCCACAATCGGGTAGCACACGACACAGGAAAACACTCCCATGTTAGGGCCAGTAACAGGGCCGCTGGATTACCCCCTCCTCCCCCCCTGCGGCCTCCCTGGTTAGGGCTCACTGACCACATGACACCACTCGAGTATCAATGAAACATATAGGGCAACCCAAGGACAGAGTTTCTTATGCTCACACCAAACACGCCAGAACCTGGGACCCTAGACAAAGTCTCACTGACAAGAAGTGGGGCATATTTCCTTATCGCCATAGCTAACACTAAAAACCATACATATACATATATACACACTGCTCAAAAAAATAAAGGGAACACAGAAATAATATCTTAGATCTGAATAAATTAAAATTCTTCTTAAATACTTTGTTCTTTACATAGTTGAATGTGCTGACAACAAAAATCACACAAAAATTTAAAAATGGAAATCAAATTATTCAACTCATAGAGGTTTGGATTTGGAGGCACAATCAAAATTAAAGTGGAAAAACACACTACAGGCTGATCCAACTTTGATGTAATGTCCTTAAAACAAGTCAAAATGAGGCTCAGTAGTGTGTGTGGCCTCCATGTGCCTGTATGACCTCCCTACAACGGCTGTGCATTCTCCTGATGAGGTGGCGGATGGTCTCTTCAGGGATCTCCTCCCAGACCTGGACTAAAGCATCTGCCAACTCCTGGACAGTCTGTGGTGCAACGTGACATTGGTGGATGGAGCGAGACATGATGTCCCAGATGTGCTCAATTGGATTCAGGTCTGGGGAACGGGCGGGCCAGTCCATAGCATCAATGCCTTCGTCTTGCAGGAACTGCTGACACACTCCAGCCACATGAGGTCTAGCATTGTCTTGCATTAGGAGGAACCCAGGGCCAATCGCACCAGCATATGTTCTCACAAGGGGTCTGAGGATCTCATCTCGGTACCTAATGGCAGTCAGGCTACCTCTGGCGAGCACATGGAGGGCTATGCAGCCCCCCAAAGAAATGCCACACCACACCATTACTGACCCACTGCCAAACCGGTCATGCATGGAGCATGGGGCAAATGGAGAGCCTGGGGCAGAGGAGAAGCAGGGAGAGCTTGGGGAAGAGGAGAAGCAGGAAGAGCCTGGGGCAGAGGAAGACCAATGGAGAGCCTGGGGCAGAGGAGAAGCAGGGAGAGCCTGGGGCAGAGGAAGAGAAAGGGAGAGCCTGTGCACAGGAAGAGCAAGGGAGAGCCTGGGGCAGAGGGGAAGCAGGAAGCATGGGGCAAATGGAGAGCCTGGGGCAGAGGAGAAGCAGGGAGAGCCTGGGGCAGAAGAAGAGCAAGGGAGAGTCAGGGGCAGAGGAGAAGCAAGGAGAGCCTGGGGCAGAGGAGAAGCAGGAAGAGACTGGGGCAGATGAAGAACATGGGAGAGTCTGGGGTAGAGGAGAAGTAGGGACAGCCTGTGGATTAGGAGAAGCAGGGAGATTCTGGGACGGAGAAAGACATTTGAAATAACAGCAACTATAATTAATTACAAACAAAAAGGAGTACAATTTATGAAAATGGGCTGCCATGGGATACTCGTGTGAATAAAGGTTGGGAACCACTGCTTTATTCCAACTTTCCAGTTCTTCTGATGGGTCAGTGAGTGTGTGTCATAATAAAGCTGTCTTTGCGCAGTTTATTTCTCAGTGTGGATGTAAATGGATGTGGATTGCTTCTGTGTGGTATTTGCAGGGCTGGCACAACTGCTAGGTGGATTAGGTGGGCGTCTGGGGGGTGCCTGCCCGGGGGCCACAGTGAAAGGCATTAGGGGAGTACACAGCACTCCCCTCCTGCCGGACCTTGTGTGTAGCCTGGCCGGGTGGGCAGACTGCGGTATTGGAGCTTGTTTCCCTCTGCCAGGTCTGACACAAAATGCGCACAAAGGACGCTGAACTGCTTCCTGTCAGACCGGGTAGAGGGAACAGGATCACCTTTGCCGCAGAACACCTGCTCAGCAACGCTACATGGAGGAGGGAGTTGAGGGGGGACCACAGGAAAAAAGGAGAGGCACACAGAGGGCTATTGGGAGGTACACAGAGGGCTGGGGGAAAGAGGCACACCAAGGACTGAAGGGAGGAGGAGAGGCACATAGAGGGCTGGGAGGGAGCAGAGAGGTGCACAGAAGGGCTTGGAGGGACAAAGATACACATAAGGGCAGAGGGAGAAAAGAGACACACAAAAGGGGCTGTGGGGGAGAGAGAGAAACATAAAAGGGCTGGGGGAATAGACATGAGACACACAGCGAGACTGGGGGCGGGGGAGGGGAGAAAGACTCCCAAAGTTGGTTGGCAATTTAAATTTTTTTTTTTTTATGGGGGATACAAGTAGCTGGTCTCACACTACCGGCCCTAGTAGTTGAGTAATTGAGGTAGTGTCAGTGGAATATAGTTCTGGAATGAATGTGGTTTGTTATACAAATTTTTTACTTTTGTGAGTTAAAGAATGTTAGTGTTCTATTGTTTATGTGTGTGTTTGTTTTTAATCCCCTTAGTGACCAGACCGGTTTTTAATTTTCTTACTGTTAAGGACCAGGGCTGTTTTTACATTTCTGCTGTGTTTGTGTTTAGCTTAAATTTTTCTCTTATTAATTTACTTGTAGCCCCATGTAGCCAAAGCACCGGCCTCGGCGGGGAGCTTCCCGGCAGGCGGCGGCCCGGGATGCAGGCGGCGCGCCCCCTGGAGCGGATGGGGCGGGGCCTGGAGCAAGGGCCGCACCGGTGGCCGAACGGCCCTCTCCAGGGCCAGGAGGGACAGGGGCCTGGCCTGGGAGGGCGCCCCCACTACTGGAGGCCGCAGAGGTCGGAGCCAGGGGCAGGACGGCCCAGAGCAGGCCTCAGACGAGGCAGACGCGGCAGGCAAGTGCAGGGGGCCCTCCCGGGGGCCTCCTTGGCGGGCAGGATGGGGGGGTGAGCAGCTGGGGGATAGTGCCCGGGTATATGGGGGGGGCGAGTTTCCCCCAGGAGGCCGGTGGCGGGAGAGGAAGTGCCACATGGGGTGCCAGCTAGCCACAGGTGGAGGGGGGACATTGGAGGGCAGGCTGACGCAGAGCAGGGGTCAGCGGTCAGGTCACAGGGGGTGCTGAGAGGGTCCACTGGCCAGGGGGGCAGGGATGGGGAGCTGGGGGGGGTAGGAGGGGAGTCTGCATCACGTTTAGGCCGGCCCGGTGGTTCTGGGGGGAGGCTGGGGCAGCAGGCAGCAGAGGGGAGGAGGGGCGTAGGGGCAACTTTTCTGGACGCAGTGGGGGGAGGAAAAGGGGGGCCACGGCAGTCAGGGGGCCGGAGGTGGGCAGAGGCGGGGCAGGTCCAGTGATAGGTCAGGCTCCAGGTCCAGCAGCATTAGCCTCTCCCCAGTTAGGGACGCCATGGCACGGGGGCATCCGGAGAGGCGGCGGCGCCTCAGGTCTACGTCCGACAGTTCAGCGGGGGGAAGGTCAGGGTCCCCCAGGCATGGTCGACGGGGAAGGCATCAGGGGGAGACGGTAGGAGTTGCAGCCCGCGGGGTGGGGCTACTCAGGCCTCAGGAGGGCAGCAGCAGGGCAGCGGGCATCAGGAGGCCTTGGCAACAGGCAGGCGTTCCCTGGGTCAGGACGGGAGGGTGGGCGAGGAACAGTACACCCTGCCCAGGACTTCTTCTCCTCGTTTCAGATCTCTGAGCCACTCCTCATCAGTGTTCGCGAGGCACCGGGCGGGCTCCTCGGTTGGATGACTTCTTCTGCGTAGGGCCGGCCGACTCCCCCGCATGCCTGCACCTGCTGAGGACAATTGAATGGGTGGCAGGCCATTTCAGGGTACCACTGGCGGCGGATAAGACGGAGGGCCTGACCGTGTGCCTCAGCTTCTTGGGGATGGAAATAGATTCGGTGCTTGGGGAATGCCGCTGTCCAAATTGGAGGGACTGCGGTCCACAGTGGACGCGGTGCGGCGGGCACGCAAGGTGACGCTGCAGCAGCTGCAATCAC